GAAGCGGGGAGGGGGGGTAGCGCAGGAGGCGGTGGAGGCTGCGGTGGCGGCGGCGGCGGCTGCACAGAGCGCGATACGGCCGTGATCTGGACCTGCAAGGACCCGAAGAGCCAAGAGTCAGCGCTGCCTGTCCCAACCCTGCCCAGCAGCCCCGAGGAGGGGCAGCCCTCCCCCTCACCTCGTCTTCTTCCTCGCTGCTGCTCTTGTGCTCCTGGGGGGGCGAGCTGCCTGGCGGGGGGGCTGGACTCGCGCCCTCCTGCTCTGCCTCCCACTCCTGCAGCACCTCCTCCAGGTTGAACCGGCGGCGGTAGCTGACGAAGAAGGTCTTCACTTGGGCCACCGTCTTATTGCTGATCACTTCGGCGATGGCTTGGAAGTCTTTGCCGTATTTCCGGATGGCTGGGGGGACAGGGGGAGAGAACAGCAGGGGTTGAACAGGGCACCGTGCGTGGCACCGTGCAGCGTGCTCGCCAGCCGGCGGAGCGTGACTTCCCCCTGCTCTTGCCTCGAAGAGGGCAATGTCCTCTGACAAAACTCGGGACAAATGCTGCCTTGTGCCCCCACAAGGGGGAAACTGCTGCTGATTTATCCTATTTCCACGTGGTGGCCTGGAGCCACCTGCTCTTCCCTTCCGCCTGATGCCTACTGCAAGACTCACCCTGCACCGCCAGCAGCTGCTCATCAGTTGTCCAACGGGAGTTGAACTTGATATTCGTCTGCAAGGAAACAGGAGGTTTGAATCTCGGGGGCAGCCCTTTTCGGTCCTCCCCGCTCCCCCAAGAGCACTCTGGCACCTCAAATAGGGAGGAGGCCTCTGCCCATCCTCTGACTGGCCCTCAAAAACCTTCATGGCGTCCCCGCTAGTCTCTCCAAAAGTTGCCCCCAATTCAGTTACACAAACAGAACAGAATGAATTGAACATCCCTTAGATTCTAAATAAATTACGCTAACATTTTGCCTATTACCCCACTCCTATTTTGGGGAACGCAACGCTGGATCCCACCCCTGCACTGGATGCTCTCCTTGTCCTGAATGAATTTGCACAGTCCCGTTCTCCCCTTTGGGGGGCCTGGATTTGCACACGGGTGAGCACTCACCTCGGGCGGGCGCAGTTTGCGGATCCCTTCACCTAATGCCTGCTTCATACTGCTGTTGATCTGTTTGATGCTCTGTACCTAGTATGGAAGGAGTTGGGAGCCTCAGTATGGGGGCTTCTGGGTTTGGGGGAAGGGAAGAAGTCTCAACAGTGCCCCACTAGCTTAAGGGGTGGAGGGGAAGAGAAGCCGGTCCCTTTTAGGCTACTGTGGAAATCAAACCATAGACCTGAAATGAAGCCGTCAACGGCCCAACACAATGGCTCCATTTTCAAGTACCACCCACCTTCTAAATTCAGAGAATTAAAGCTCCCTCCCCAAACCGAGGGAAGAATACAGTCAACATTTGAACGTGGCTTCCTCCGACAACGTGGACACTGCACCACCATGTCTTTGGTGGTCCTCGGCAGCCGAATACACATGCCAAATAAGGATCGTGTTCAAATGATTGGGGTACCTGGCGCTTGAGCGAAACCAGCTGAGAGTCCAGGTGACGCAGCGTCAGCACGGCCATGTCTGGGCTGGTGGACAGGCCCGTGATGTCCTCCTGGCTCAGGTACATGCCCTTAGGAGGGCGCCGGCGAGCGCGAAGGGGATGGTGCCGGTATTGTGGAAGCTGGAGCTCCTTCTTCATGGGCCCCGGTTTACTGCTAGGCGGCTTCTGATAACTAGGCTGCGGGTGAGAATGTGGGGAGGGGGATGAAACAGGGAGGGGGCCCCGTGGGAATTGCCAGCAAATCATTCCTGCTTCAAGAAAATTCTGTCCTGCGGTGGGGAATCCACTGCCACCCGCTTCTGAACCGCTCGCCAAACCCTGGTAACCTCGTTACCATGGTGCAGAACGATTATGCAAGCCGAGGTTGCCTTCCCCAGCGAGGCGGGGTATGGGACCTGCACGGGATGTCTCTCTCCAGATAGTTTCCTGGGCATAAAAGGGTCTCTTCCTCCCCAAAAGGGCTAGGAACGCTACTGCTTTTAAAAGCAAAGGCTGACAATAAGAGGGGAAACCTGAAAACCGATCTCCCGTGCTTGAAGAAGCAGGACTAACGCTAAGACCTTCAAGGCTTTAACCAAGTTGCTTTCCAGGCTGGCTGGAGATTGCTCTCCGAGATCCCGAAGCTGTTAGTGCCAGGCTGGGCCCTGGGTACATGGTTTAACGTTCCCAGTCCCTTACCTCCTTCTTGGGATCCATGGTATCAAATTCGCCTTCGCTGGCCTGCCGTGACTCTTCCAGTTCATCGCTACTGGAGGGAAAATAAGGCCCCTTGAATAGCAGTCTTCCCCAGCCCCTCCAGAGCCTGCCTAGCCTATAGACGTTTTCAGATTTCTCCAGCTAGAGAGATCGGGGCTTCTTTTCCAAAGGAGCAATCTTGGATCTGGGATTCAGCCTCGTGTCTTCCCAGTTCCCAGAAACTCCCTGTTCAGGGCAACCGTCCATGTGGTTCGCTTCTGCATCTGCCCCCCACCACCACGCCCACACACACTTGTAAAGCACTGAGAAGCTGCATTTGGCCCCAAGCAGGTTCAGGGGGCATCTTGGGGGTGGGATAACCTGCTGCAAAGCTCGCCCCATCACTCTGAAACGCCTCCCCGTGCCACGCGGCAGACCCCCCTTGCTTGCTTACCTGTCGTCCTTCTCCTTCTTGCTAAGCAACTTGCGGGCTTGCCGGTCCATCACACTTGTGCGGCTCCGAGTTTTCTTCCAGGAGTAGTAATATTTCACCAGGCTGGGGATTAACTTGTCAGGAAGCTTCACAAGAGGACAGAGAGAGAGAGATGTTGGTGCGTAGGTAGCGCCAAGCAATTATCAAAACAGCCTTATAATGAGGCAGCCAAGAAGGTCAATCATCACACAAAAGCTTGGGAGCCTTGACTTTATCTACCCCATGATGATGGGTTCACATGACACACTTGAAACTGGGCCAGTGGAAGACCCAGCAGCTGTATTCACACCTTACACTTAGGTCAAACTTGATTAGCTGAAGGGGAAACTTGATATGATCTGCAAATCCAGCTTGATTCAATTATGGTTTGTGAAGGCGTGGTGGTTGTTTTTTTTTGTTTTTTTGCAAAAAGTTGGAAAACTTAATACCCATCATGCTTAGAAATGGAGGCCAATAGGCCAACCTCTGCCCCCACAAGACCCTCTTTTATGACCCAGCATTGTGAAACTGCCGTTGGGTGGGGTTTACGGAGTGACATCACTGCACATGCTCAAATATGGCAAAAGTACATCTTGTTCCTTGCTTGCCAGCAAAGAACAGGCCAGCTGGTTTGTTTTCTGCTAGCAATTGCAATTACTGACCAAGAGCAGACTGGCTACAGCCTGTGGCTGCTGACCTGCTTTTTGCCTGCAAGTTATAATTAAAGCATCTCCATTCATTCATTTATTCATTCATTCATTCTTGCCAGATTTTTTTTCTTTTTGGAGAATCAAGTTATGTCAATCAACTTCACTGGATATAGTGCAGGCACATAAGAAAGGGCACAATTTGTTTGGCCCCCAGCCACCCCAGCACCACTGGGCCAGGCAGAATGGGGCACTTACCATCTGCTGGATTCGAGCAAAACTTTTGCCGTGGAAGCTGAAGGCTTGTTCGAACAGGACTTTGTCCTCCACTGTCCACTCATCAGGGAAAGGTGTGAAGTTGGCTAAGTCGGCCAGTGACTTCTCTACATCATGTTTGTGCCACAAGAGCATCCCCAAAGCCTGTTGGGAGGGAAGAGAAAGAGACCGGGACTGCAGTGGACATAGAAACCTGTTTCTTCAAAACCTGAAGAGGTGAGGGCCCCTTTAAAAGTAAGTTTCTAGGGCCTGCTGGAAAGATGAACTTGAAA